AAAAAAAAAAAAAAAAAAAAAAAAAAAAAAAAAAAAAAAAAAAAAAAAAAAAAAAAAAAAAACAGAGAAAATTAATGGAGGAACAAAGTTTGGTACAATCAATCAATGTACAAATGCATTGTATTGGTTGTGGACAATTGGGTCATCATTTGGATGAAGAGATTGGTCCCATTGCTCAAGAACCCTAATTATTTGTCATTTGAATCCACAACCCACTTGTAATTCTATTCTATAATACTCAACAAAGAGACAACTCCTCCTAAAGACATGCTTGGACAGCCAGTAAAGTTAGGTTAATAGGAATGAACTCAGAAGAATTACTAGAATTAAGCATCAGTCAAAGTAAAAAGGACTCCGGATCTGATAGAAATCTACCATTCCAGTTTGGCAGTGGTAAGGGTTGGACAGGTAGGTGGCATCTAGTTTTGTGGTGGGGTTTCAGAGAATTCATATTCATCTCTGATTTTCACTCATTACGTCTCAGTTAAAGAAAAAAGGGGAGTGGGAAGCTATGGCATTGCCATCATGAATGAGGACAGCCACAGTAGCAGGCCTGACAACCTGGGATCCACCCCTCAAACCTTCAACTATGATGTCTCTCATTACTATACAAAACCAAACCCCATCCCTTTTCCTGTTCCTTTTTCTGCTTCAGATCTATCCCAAACTCTGCCTAATAATGGACCCAACCTTGTCAACCATTCCTACATGATACCTTATTTCTGTGTTCTTTCTGACATATGTTTTTAAATCTTCAAATCGATATCTCTGACTTGGAATACAAGTTCATATCATGTTACAAAAGATGAATACAGAATCACTCAACAGTAGCAGACTAGCAGTATTTGCTACCATACCCTTTATCCAAACCTAAAAAGAAAGAGTATTTTAGCTGCAAAATCGAAACTTGACAATGAGCTAGTATCAGAACGCTTTGAGGCTTCTAAACATTTTTGGTAGAGGAATAATTGTTGTATGAGTTCATACATACTATGGATAGTGTACAGAAGAGCTAGAATACAAGCTCAAAACTTTTCACAATAATGCACATTTATTCACATGGTTTTGGCTCAGATAAGCTAGGATGTTCTAGATATAACTGCAAACTCAGAGGTTGGCTGTTCATGGACTTGATGGGGGTGATTATTGGTGGTTGTTGCCATTGTTTGGTATCCGTTGGGATCCATAACTCTGCATCTTTACTTGTACCAGAACTTGGGAGGGTTTGGAAGTAGGCAGTTATTTCCCATTTGCAGTCTGTTTATACAAAGATTAAGCTATAGAAATCCTTCAATCTTTTATGACAGGAAAAACAAAAATGCAGAAGAAGATGGACATTTCTAATGATTGAAGTACGAACAGTTAAGATTGATGAACCAAAAGAAAAAAAAAAAAAGTCTCACCAGGCGGAAGAGTCTTGGTTAGAGGCTCCGTGACAGATAGCTTGATCAAGAATGACCTTAAGGCGAACTCCAGGTCAGAATTTTCGACCTTTGATTCATAAGACTGGTTCACTATGAGCTTGAAAACAAATCTTTCGACTTGGATATTTTCCCCGTTGAAAAATATAACTGCCACTCTCTCCACCAGTCCCTAGTTGAGGAGGAAACCCATGTTCAGACTACTAGTAAATTGCACGAAGGAAGAAGTGGTTAATTAATCGAAGTTCTATAACTATTAAAAACGCTACTATTTCTCTGAGATCAATCAGGTTGGACATGACATATTGCAACTGCTTCACCCAGACGCCTACTTTACGTTTTCGATGAACTTTTCTCGGTTCAAGATTCATTGAATAGATTTACAATTGCAAACACAGATTGTCTTATATTGTGAGAATACCAGTAAATAATCAACCCGTTCATAGCTTGTAGCCTTAACAACAAGCATGCCTAATCTAATCTTCACATCTAATACTTACAACCACAGAACCCATTAGTTTCCTTCACCGATTCCAACCATAAACAACTTCCACTCTTCCTAAAACCAAGCACGTAGTCATGTGAAAGAAATTATCCACTATTCAAGATTGTCCTTGAAAAAGGACCTGGTTTCAATTCTACAAGGCACATGGGTAGACAAGAAATTTAGGACCATTTTTAGCACATAGAGGACAAGAATACAAGTGAATGGTCAACCTTTTGGATGAAAGGAAGTAGCCCTGAAACAGTTGAGTGGATGTAATCCTGCAGCTCAGGATGACGAGCCCTCTGCACAACCGCATTCATATACCTTCTTCTTTCAAAAGCACCTTCATAAAAACCCCACCAATAATTAGTCATAATTCCCATCGTTTTCTTTTTCTGTTCTTCAATCCATTAATATTGACTAATATCTTATTTCCCCTGTGATTAAGGGGTGGGGGTGTAAAGGGCCAATCTAACAGGTGACCAAATAAATTTCAAGTTATTTAGGTTGTAACGCACCCATTGTGAGATCCCACATCGATTAGAGGGAGAAACGAGTGCCAATGAAGACGCTGGGCTCTGAAGGGGATGGATTGTGAGATCCACATCGATTGGAGAGGGGAACGAGTGTCAAAGAGGACGTTGGGCCTTGAAGGAGGTGGATTGGGAAATCCCACTTCAGTTGGAGGGGAACTAATATAAGGGTGTGGAAATCTCTCCTTAGCAGAGGCATTTTAAAAACCTTGAGGAGAAGCTCAAAATGGAAAGTCCAATGAGAAAAGTATTTGTTAGCGGTGGATTTGGGTTGTTATGCTCATAAACCAATGTTTCTTAATTACTTGGTAGAAATACAATAAAGTGCAATCACCATCCTCTGTAACAAATAAAGCAGATCATAGGATCTTAAACAAACAAATTAAAGAAAGAATTGCACCAGATGGATAAATGCCTTTGAGGAAGACAATTGATGTAATGGCCACCTCCAAGAACTCAACTAGAATCTGAACCGTCTCACCTGCATAAATAATTAGTTCAATAACAGTGTTACATTTACTCTTATCATCAGGAAACTGAAGTAACTGGGAGCTGGAACAAATAAAGATAAAATGGAGAACCTTGGGGTGCTACTTTATTGTCTCTCGAGTCCATCGGCTAAATAAAGTGAATCGATATGGTCCTTGTACTAGACGTTCGAATTGTCAACATAAGCATCTAAGCCAATTACATTAACGATCTTGAGCACGCTCCATTTGGCTGCACTAAATAACAAAGGGAACAATTATCCTCAAGCAAGTTACATGAATATCAAATATGGTATAACATTTCAGATGCTTAGATGACAAGTAAACTGGTTTCATTATCTAATTGGTTTGTCTTTGTAAAAGTTTAGCTCTGAACAGTGCGTGAGGGTAGCCATCAGTGTTCAATATTATCAATCCACGTCGACCTACTAATGGGATGCTCTAACACGTTACAACATTTCGCTAATGTGAGATACACAACGTCTTTCCAGTGTCAACAGGTTAGCTCAAACTCAAATCACTTGGACAAATGTTGTCATTGCATTTTCTATCTCAGAAAAATCCAATCGTTAACACAATAATCGTAAGAGCAACTGTTTGCTGCAGCACCAGAGAGCTCATTAGGATGCTTTTGATGACTATGAAGCGTACCAAAATGAACGTTCACAAAGGAAACAACTCATATACTGATTCCATTGTTCATCATAATTCCAGTGATTCTTAATTCTTCCATTGCATCTTCCATTTAACAGCTTGTAAATACACAGAGAGTAAACCACATAAACGTCCTGAAAGCCAAATCCTCTTCCAATTTTGGAAAACAGACAGACGAGCCCCAGCGAATTAAACTCCAAAAACAAAAATGACCTAACAAAATCGAAGCAAATAATTTTCGGGAAGAACCAACTAACACAAAATAAAAAATGAAACAATGGCGCCAAAGGCGATAATCGACGATTTCTTTCCCATTTTTCACATTTTCTTTGTCCTTTTGGGGTGTATAAGGAAACAGGCAAGTGTTGAAACTTACAAAACATGGATCGTGCTCCATTAAGCTCCTGCTCTGATATCTTAAGATGGAAACTTGGGGGAGTAAAGCGATTGCTAGAAGCGATTCATACCCGTAAATGTTGCCGCCTTCTCTGTGTTGCAGTCGTCGAGTTCCAATTGCAGCGCCGTAGAATAATTTCGTGTTTAAGCCCAGCCCAATTAAATTACAATTATTTCGTGTTTAATGGACTTATAAATACACAAAAAAATATTTTTTTTTCAATTATTTTAATCGTTTTTTACTCAAAATTTTACACACTATTAATTTTTTTTGATAATTCACAAAGCTATTTTTATTTATTACAAAAATGTAAAAATCTCTATAAATTTAAAAAAATATAAAGATTAATCCAAAATAAAATTTGATTAATGTTCAAATTAACACAAACAAAGCTATTTATTTATAATATTATCAAATATATAATATTTATATGTTCTAGAATTTATTAAATGAATATGCAAAAAAAAAAAACAATTTTTTATGTTGAAACTTATAAAAAGGTTTAAATTGTAATAATTTAATAATCTAAAATTAAAATATAATAGGATGAAATTGGAATTTTAAGATTTTCAATTTTAATTTTAAAGGAGAAAATCGAGCTTTTTTTTTTTTTTATATATATATATAATTTTATTTGTGATTTTGAATATAATGAATCTTAAAAATTGCAGTACATCGAATTGGCAGCGCGCGACGACCAGCAATCGGAGAGGCTCGGAGCGGGAAGAGCAGAGAGTGAGTGTTCCAAGGTAAGATTTTTTTCTCGAACGAATTTGCATTAGAATTCAGCATCGCTCGGATTTGGTATAGTAACTAACTGATCGTGGAAATTTGAAGAGGAAATTATGGAGAGACGCCGGGCTTGTGTGGTCGTTCTCGGTGATCTTGGTCGAAGTCCTCGTATGCAGTACCAAGCTCTTTCTCTTGCCCGCCAGGTATCATCGAATCGTTTTCTCAATTCAGCGTTGATCGTTGTTACTAAATTCATTGTCCTCTAGGTGTATGAGAATGTTCGATTTAGCTGCTTATTGTTGGTTTCAATGATTTCAGTGTAGAACTTGAAGATTTTCTTGATTTGGTTTGTTTCTGTATTTTTGCTGTTTTATATTCAACTCTTTAATATTGATATTTGGGCTTTTCGATTGATATTACAGGCAAATCTGGAGGTGGACATTGTTGCTTATGGAGGTTGAACCACACTGTATCTTGAGAGTCTTATTATTCAATCATGTTTATAGCAAGCTAACATTGAAACTTTGGGTGCTAAATAGGCTCTCAGCCCCACTCGGCACTTCTAGAGCACAAATCTATCCATGTTCATACCATGGTACTTATGTAGAAGCTTTTTTTTTTCCTTCTTTCTCCTCTTTCAAATAAAATAGTGTCGTCTACTAGTTTTTCTCAAATCTCTTTTGTTGTTTATCACAGACACAGTGGCCAAAATTCCTTCAAAATTTGCTATGGATATTCCGGCCTGTAACACTACTGCTCAAGCCGCTCATTCAGTTTCTTATGCTTCTTTGGTTCCTTATTGTTAGAATTCATTCACCTGCCTTCTTCATTGTGCAGGTAAATAAATGGTTTCAAAATTATGATATATCCAACTTCTTGATTAAATCATATTTAAACAAACGGTATACATATATATATATGTAGTTTCTGGACATTGAGTTATCCTTTGATCTCTTTTGAATAATCTGTACTCCTCTCTTAAGGAAAGAGAGAGACTTTCTTGATGGTAAAAGCATATGTTTGTGCTTCATTTCAATATTAACCAAAAATTGAAAATTTAGTGAGCATATATTAAGCCATTCATGAAATGTTATATGATTGATTTCCTCTTTTTTCCCCAGCAGAACTTGCTTCGAGTTGTATCAAAGTAATGATTGTTGCTAAAATTCCAAAATAATTACACTGGGTTCATTTGCCTGCAAATAAACAGATGATTATTTGCCTGGTTTCCTCTTTTACTGTCTTTTGGCGTATTTTTATGGGACATTGACTAACTGTGTTTGCTGGGATGCACGTGCATATTTTGCTAGTCTTACTGCACGTTACAGAAGTTGTACCTTCAGGTTCAGTGATGGGATGTTTGATGTATGTACTTAAGAATAAGAATTGGGTATCTCACTCCTCCTGCAATAAATTATTTCTTGTATATTACTAGCATTTATCGCTCATTTCCCTTTTTGATTATTTGGGTCTGGATGGAGTATGGAAAGTGATGGTCAAATTTTCAGTCTGCTGTTTGGCCCCTTTTCCTGTAACTGGCTGATGTTTTGCACAAACTCATTATCTTGATGTAGTTTTCATTCATATGAGACTTGGTTAAAGAAATTTATGTTAACATCTGTTTTTCTATTGTACTTTTTAAGATTTCCGGTTTATTTTGATTTTTATATGAACCATACACTTTTTACAATAATCCCTTATGAGTATTTCTTCTGCAGAATCCTCCTTCTGTTCCAACGTTAATTGCTGTAAAATGGGCTAGCATACTAAAGCGATCTGCATTTATCATTGATTGGCATAATTTTGGTCATACTTTGCTTGCCTTGTCCCTGGGAAGAAATAGCAGTTTTGTTGCTGTTTACCGCTGGTACTGAATATGTTTTTCCCGCCCTCTTGTCCATTCAGTATGTGCTCGGCTGGTCTATTGTTGGCTATATCATAATTGGGATGTGTGCCTAGGATTGAAAAGCATTTTGGGAAGATGGCAGATGGCTCCTTTTGTGTCACGAAAGCAATGCAGCATGAATTGGCTGAAAACTGGGATATTAAGTAAGAGGATGTGACTTATGGGTTCATGGAAACGTAGTCATACTTCCTCTAATAGACCATTTGAACACTTTAGTATTATTAATAATTATTTTCGTTTTTTTTCTTTTTATTTTAAAATAGAGCCACAGTTTTCTATGATCAACCTCCTGAGTTTTTCCACGTTGCTTCACTCCAGGAAAAACATGAGGTGAGTTATGGTCACCTTTATTGTTTCATTCTCTGTACATGCTGTATGATAAATAGACTAAATGTGTTGTTCGATTTAGTTATTTTGTAGGCTACATAGTAATCTACTTCAACCTCTTGGTCTTCAAGATTGTGTTAGCTATGGTGAGATCTACATTTCAATGAATGTATTGCACATATTCGCAGTTCGACAAAATTTTCCCTTTTCATTCAAGATGACACTGTAATTAGCAGGTGCAGTAACGGTAGGCCATGAGCAGCAGGAGACATTGTTAACGAGTTTGGTTGGCAACGGTATTCTCTTGAAGCAAAACAGACCTGCAGTTGTTGTGAGCAGCACAAGCTGGTTAGTTGTACGTTTGACTAATGATTCTTGAAGAATTGATAGTTTCACTTCTTTTTCTTGGAGGATGTTCTGTGTTTGTGCTTTCAATTTTTTATTTTTTATTTTTGGTGTTTTTTGGTCGTTTGATTGTTAAAGTGAATATGATAGTTTGTACTGTAATTTGTCAGGATGGGATGGGATATAAAATCTGCATCTAGATAGCTTATATTTGGTATGCACATAGGTTGCATCCCCAAGAATGACATCCATGGATGTCTGGCTTTGTTGGAATTTATATGCCCACCCAAATTAGTAAGTTTGAGGATTCTCCTCCTATAGGATCCTACATTACCATTCTTGTAATCATGTTTTGTGTTAGATATATTTTGTTCATAAGCAATGACATTTCAGAATTTAAAACGAAGCACCTTAAGATAGTTTTGAACCGTGGTAAGGAAGAGAGTTCAAACAGACCTCCAAGAAGCAAAAGTTGAATATTTCTAGTTGTAACATTGTACAATCGAAAGGTTGGGACTTGCAAATTTCTCTCTGAAAGCACCTATTGAAGATCAGTGCCTTAACTTCCTGTAATGTCATTGTCAGGACTCCAGATGAAGATTTTAGTATCCTTTTAGAAGCTGCAGTCATGTATGACAGGCGTGTTGCTGCCATCCTAAATGAGGATGATTCAGTTTCTGATGAATTTATCTGGAAAGATATCTATGATGGAAAGCAATACTTATATCCTAGGTTATTATTCATCATTACTGGTAACTACTTTTCACCTTTTCAAAATTTTACTTCCAAGTGGGCGATGTCTAAATTAGAGATTTTCCACTGTTTATAAAGGTAAAGGGCCTGACAAAGAAAAGTATGAAGATAAGATCAGTAAATTGCACCTTAAGCGTGTGGCATTTCGTACAATGTGGCTGTCTCCAGAGGATTACCCATTACTTCTCGGTAGTTTGTAATAGCCTAGGGTTACCCACCCCTCCCCC